ATATGTATTTTTTCTTTTTTTATTATTATTAAGGTATTACAAATGTGTCCTCAGCCCCCCTAAAATATATATTTTTTAAGAAAGGGCTGTGACTCCTGTCACTGAGGGCCTCTGGCCCGTCTGAGACTAGTGTGTGGGGGGGGGTCTCCGATCCTGCCCTCTGACCCACGCCCCCCAATGTGACCTTTCAGAGATCCTTCTGGATGCTCCCCCAACCACCGGCTCACCTGACTGCTGGTTCCTTCAGGCTCTTTTTGTACCTGGGGAAAGGATGTTGGGAGGAGAGGCTCAGGAAGTGAGGTTGGGACCGGAGGCCCTGATCCCGCCCCGGCCCCCACCTCCGGGCGCTCGGTCGGCCCTGCCCTGCACAGAGTCTCACCTCCTCAGGAAGAAGACCAGCAGGCCCACCAGGGTGAGGAGCAGCAGGACCCCAACAATGGCCCCGGCGATGACCCCTGGGGGAGGAGGCATGGGGAGCCGTTAGGGCCCAGGTCCTAGCTCCTGACACCCCATCTCTCCTGCCTCCACCTTTTTTATTTTTAAACTAGAGGCCCGGTGCAAAAAAATTTGTGCACTCGGGGGGGTCCCTCAGCCCAGCCTGTGCCCTCTGTAGTCTGGGACCCCTTGGGGGATGACCACCTGCTGACTTAGGCCTGCTCCCTGGGGGATTGGGCCTAAGCTGGCACTCAGACATCCCTCTCGCAGCCTGGGAGCCCTTGGGGGATGTCCACTTGCCAGCAAGGTAGGAGAGGCTCCCACCACCACCACTGCACTTGCCAGCTGTGAGCCCGACTTCTGTTTGAGCAGCGCTCCCACTGTGGGAGTGCACTGATCACCAGGGGGCAGCTCCTGCTCTGACATCTGCCCTCTGGTGGTCAGTGCACATCATAGGTTTGCAGGCTGGCCAAGCCCCCCAATGAGGACCCTCACCCTATGAGGGTGTGACCAGCCTGGGTGAGTGGCTGGTGGCTGTTTGCAGGCTGGCCACAGCCCCTTCAGGGTGGGGGTTTCCCCTGGGGTGCCTGGCCAATCTGAGTGAGGGGCTGATGGCTGTTTTCAGGCTGGCCACAACCCCCAGCCACCCAAACTCTCAGTGGAGGCTGGCTGGAAGCAATTATCTGGGATTTATTTGTCTTCTATAATTGAAACTTTGTTGCCATGAGCGGAGGCCACAGCTGGCTCACAGTAGGCGGGAAGCTTGGCTTCCTCCATCACCCTGGCAACCAAGCCTCCTGCTTGCTCCAGCTCCATGGCTGCCAGCCGCCATCTTGGTTGGGTTAATTTGCATACAGCCACTCTGATTGGCTGGTGGGCATGGCTAAGGGCATAGCGAAGGTATGGTCAATTAGCATCTTTGTCTTTTATTAGTGTAGATATGCTTTTATTGATTTCAGAGAGGAAGGGAGAAGGAGAGATAGATAGAAACATCAATGATGAGAGAGAATCATGGATTGTCTGCCTCCTGCACGCCCCCTACTGGGGATTGAGCCCACAACCCAGGCATGTGCCCTTGGCTGGAATCGAACCTGGGACCCTCCAGTCTGCTGGCCGACACTCTATCCATTCAGCCAAATCAGCCAGGGCTCAGTCTACACTTTAAATGTGTGAGTTGTGCACTAGCCGATTTGGCTCAGTGGGTAGAGCATCGGCCTGTGAACTGAAGGGTCCCAGGTTCGATTCCGGTCGAGGGCACATTCCCAGGATGTGACCTCAGTCCCCAGTGGGGGTGTGTGAGGGAAGCAGCCAATCGACGCTTCTCTCAGCATTGATGTTTCTCTCCCTCCTCTCTCTTCCTCTCTGAAATCAATAAAAATGTATTCTAAATAATTAAATATATAAATGGGTGAGTTCTATGTTCTGTGAGTTCCATCTCAATAAAACTGTTTTCAAGAAAGCCGAAAACAAAACACAAACGAGCAAACAGGAAGGACCCCCTGGGTAGGTCAGACTCCCTCCGCGCAGGGCCTGAGGGGGCCTGGAGAGACTGTGTGTCCCTGGGGCTGTGCTCACCTGCACTCTCCGTGTGGCAGGTCACGGAGGCAGCTGGGGCCCTCAGTCCGTCCCAGATGGTGCTGACCGTGGCTGCGTAGGACTGAGCGGGCTGGAGGTCGGACACGGACACGCCCCTCCCGCAGGAGGTGTTGTCCCGGGAGACCTGCTGCCAGCCCACCTGCAGCTCAAAGGCCTCATAGCCACCCCGGGGGCAGGTCCAGGTCAGGGAGACCCCATAGCCACCAGAGATGCTGGTGCAGGAGATGATGGTGACGGGGTCCGGCTCTGGGAGGAGGGGACAAGAGGGCTCAGTAGGTGCCAGCCAAGATGGTGTTCCCTCCCTCCCCCGCTTCACCGCCAGAGATGCCAATTCTGTGACCGCGACAAGGAGCCCATCCTTCCCTTCCCCAAACCCAAATACTTCTTCATCCCTCCCTCTCTAAATTCCCGAACTGGCTCCCAACAGGTCCCCACAAACTACAACTCCCATGAGCGCTCTGACTCTCTGGATCACTGCAGCTTATACAGTCAAGGCCCCATGGCCTGATGGGATTTGTAGTCCACTCACTTCTCATCACCCACAAACTCCTCCACCCCCCCCAAAAAACAGGTAAAAGGGGGCTCATCTCACTTGTGGATGCGCGGAGGCTCTGTGTGGAACCGGCTACGTTGCTCCTCTCCGCCCACACGCTGAAGTTGTATGAAGTCCCGGGTTCCAGGCCCTTCACCACATACCAAGTCTCTTTGGTCCTGGCTATCTGGTCGACCTGGTGTCCTTGGGGGTGTCCTTCCCTCTGGGGAGCTCCCACACCGGCCCACTGGACACAGTACATGTAGAGCTTAGAGTAGTGGTCTGCGGGGGCCTCCCACCGCAGGGCGATTGAGTTGTTGGTCTGAGTTCCCTTCCGCAGATCTGTGACCTTGTTGGGAGCTGAGAATTGAGACAGACAACTCAAGGTGCAGATCCCCAAGACCCCTCACACTGAGTCTGCTCACCTCCCCTTCCCTGCAGGTGCCCCAACCATCGGATTGCATACTTCCGAAGAGGTGGGGACCACGGTCGCTGGGTCCTCTCTGTCCTAAGTCCACATACCTGGGTCCCACTCACCACCCTTCCACACACAACCAGTTCCTAGATGTTTCTGTTGACTTCAGTCTGCTCAGCCTAAATGGCCAAAGACTGAGGAGTTCCGGGTCCCGTGCATCAGCAGGGCACCTAGTCCCTGGGGTCATTCTGTTGCCTGTCACTCTCGGGACCCACACCTTCCGGCTAAGAGGCGGGGCCCCTTTGGACCCAACAGTTCAACAGGACAAGCTGTGGGTGCCTGTCTAGCTCATCGGTTCTCAACCTGTGGGTCGCGACCCCGTTGGTGGTCGAACGG